GGAAATAGGGTAAATTTTTAGGCTCAATTATTACAACATCTCAGCGAGTGTCAACTCTGATGGTGACAAAACAAATACCTCAGTACTTTTTACTTGTGTAACTCCTTCCACCAGAAGAACCTCAAAGTGCTCTACAAATGAGCAAAGAGCTTTACTTAATTATCCCTCCCATAACCTGTACAATAAGGTAAGTAAATATAAGAAATAGGGTAAATTTTTAGGCTCAATTATTACAACATCTCAGCGAGTGTCAACTCTGATGGTGACAAAACAAATACCTCAGTACTTTTTACTTGTGTAACTCCTTCCACCAGAAGAACCTCAAAGTGCTCTACAAATGAGCAAAGAGCTTTACTTAATTATCCCTCCCATAACCTGTACAATAAGGTAAGTAAATATAAGGGCAAAGAGCAGTAAAATTATTTGCTCAAAGTCACACAGAAAATCAAAGACAGAAGCAGGAATATAATTCAGAATTATATCCATTGTACTCTATAATCCTGACAGCATATCCAGGTTCTCGTATGATGCTTTCACACAACATTATGATGAGACCAATATAAATACCTATGTTAGGTTAGATATCGCGGGTTGAGATTTTCAAAGCTGTCTAGCGGGTTAGGATGCACATTAATTTGATTGAGTATTGGGCAGCCAAATCCTCTCAGCAGCTTCCAAAAAAAAAAAAAAAAAAAAAATATCAAGGCTCATGAACAGAAGTTATTCTCATAGGGTACATCTACACAGCAACATTATTTCAAAATAACTAGCGTTATTTTGAAACAACTTAGTCTGCCTCTAGACAGCAGGCAGTTATTTTGAAATAATGTCAAAATACTGTCAAGCTAGAGGACTTCTTATTCCAACTCCTTTAGCCCTCAATGTATGAGGAGTAAGGGAAGTTGGAGGAAGAGTGCTCTATTTTGAAATAAGTGCTGTGCAGATGCTCCCAATTTCAAAATAAGCTACGCAATTGACATAGCTCAATTTGAGTAGCTTATTTCAAGTTAAGCCCTGCCATGTAGACGCACCCATAGTGTGAAATCCTGGTCCAATTAACATCGATGGGGCTAGGATTTCACTCAATGCATTTTTACTTGTCTGAAGTTAGTGAACACTAGAATTGCCACAGGAGAGCCTTACATGATTTGTAAACCAAATACGCTGAATAACTTTTAGCAAGCATCTAAATCAAACGTTTTAAGTTTGGGTAATCACATTTGTTTATGGGGAAAAATGCATCAGACCTCTGCTATTTGTTTTATATAGCTTACTATAAGCAAGGCTTTGGATAGGTCTGATTTAAGATAAAGGCCATAGGCCAGATTCAGACCTGATGTAAGTGAATCAATGTAGTAGGATTTGGTGAATTTATCTCCATGATTCAATGCATGTTTCCCCTTCAGTGATTTATTAAAAACAGAAGTACAAAACAATGTTACTATCACTCTCGCATACAAACAGGTAAATAAATTCACTAGCTAATGCCTATTGGCAAAAGTAGCTATACCTTAAACCCAGGACTCGGAATCTAAATGAACAGAAGCTGTAATATCTTCTTTGGGGGCAGTTCCACAGCAACTGATTTATTGTTCACCACTGACTGTCATCTCCCAGCTAGTATTAGTTGCTAGGCAGGATGAGCTTCCTAGGCAAGACTTGCTCATAAATGCATTATGACACAATGGCAGGTGTCAAGACATCACTTCTATGCAGTGGCCTCCCATTTGACTTTTCATTGTGTATGCTATTTCATGACGTATTTCTCAAGCCCAGCAAACAAAGATATAAATTATACTGTCATGTAAGTTGTTACACAGAAATTTGTTTGTATTATGGTAAGGAAAATAAGAAACCTCTCATGCTGTATGTAGAAGATGCTCTTCTGGAAATAATTTTGATGCAATATTACTATCAATAGGAGTAACATTAATTTGCCAATCACCTATAACACTCAAACCAGAGAATGAAACATGTCAGTCATTTTAGAACCCAATTCACAACCTTCTTCTGGAGTGTGGAATTAGCTCACTGATAGTTACCATGTAGGACCTTTGCTTCCAATAGGACTTCTCTTGGAAGAAGGTACCTGTACTACAGGCATTCCCCGGGTTACGTACATTAGTGTATAAACCCTATGGGCCAAAGAATTTAGGGTTAGATCCAAAGTTTTTTAGGTCAGTGCAATTCTTTAAATTGACATCCATAGCATTTGGATCATACCCTTATTGTATACTGACATAGTTCCACCAACTTCAATGGTGCTCATCCACATAAAGTCAGGCCTGCTTACATATCCATACTTACAGTACTATCTAAAATATATATTCATAAAAGACCCAGCTGTACTTGTTGAAGAGTTGAAATATGCATCATTTCAGGCTTCTTCATCTGCTGCTGTGTCCTTGTTTGCGTCTTTATTACACATTTAAAATCCAGTGCCATAAGTTTGGATCTTGGAGGGTGATTAGCTGCCTGCTATTGTAAATTTTACTGAATATTATTTTGATCCAAATAGACAACTGTCAAAATAGAAATATTTAACTGTTTGTGCGTTGGTGCAGTTCATTTACCCTCCCTAAGTATGGGCTACCAGAAAGCTTTTGCTATTTTGTCTTTGGGCTGTTTTGATCCTATGAGCCAGTGCACAGGTCTTTTAGGCTACATCTGCACTGTGGAGTTATTTCGAGATACCAGAAGTATCCTGAAATAGCTATTCTGTGTCTTTAAAGCAGCCTGTTATTTTGAAATAGATTTCAAAGTAGTGGGTGCACTATTCTGTAGGCTCTGTAATCCTCATTCCATGAGGTCTAAGGGACATTTCAGAATAGTGCTTTATTTTTAAATTTGGCATTGCATAGACAGCGCCAAATTTCAAAAGAAGCTATTTTGAAATTACCTCGAAATAAGCTATGCAATTTGTGTAGCACAAATTGTGTAGCTTATTTTGAGGTAGGGGTGCAGAGTAGATGCACCCTCGATGATTCCAAAGCTTTGTTGCCACCCTTGTGGTATGTCAGGAAAAACTATACCAGTGTCAAGGGGAGGACAGGATGCTGGACTAGATGAACCTGAGGTCTGATTCAGTATGGCAGTTCCTATGTTCCCAAGATGTTTTTATTCAAAAAATAGTTTGGAGGTGTTTTAATTAATAAGCTAATAATATTCAAATGAATAATTGTGAAAGGGTTTGTGATCATTGGGTGAATTACCTCTGATGTCATAATCACAACAAAATAACAAGAGAGAGATGAGGTAAAGGAATTACTTTAAAGGCATAGTTTTATCACTCAATACAATGAGATTTTCATAGGACAACAACAGGAAGGGATCAGGTGGAGAATGGAAAAGAGGGGGAAATGGACAGAATAGAGAGGGGGAAAGGGAAATTAACTGAAACCTATTGTTCTGTATGAGGATAACTGGGTTCTCTGATGTCACAATTCCATGAACCAACAATGAGGTTTTCAATAGGCAGCCACGATATACCTTCCCAATGGAGGATAAGATAGAGCAGCTTTGATCATTATTGGCTGCCAACTAGTTTGAAAGCAAACTTAGCAAATTGGGCTTGACTGATATTACCTGCATGGGTGAAAAGAAAAAAACAACCCCCCTGGGGTGAGATTGGGCTGTCTCCTTATCTATAAGCAATTCTTTTGCATTATGACTTTGTGATCCATTTGTGATAGACCTTCCCTCCCCCATGCTTCATGAAATGGGCTTATGGACACAAATATGAATAATTCAAAGATGCTTGGGACAAATTGCCTCGTGTAACCTATCAATCCTAATGTGTTAATCTGCTGGGTCTGTATATCTTGTTTTGATGTATGTATCACTCTTCCATGTAAAGTTAGACATATGGAGTATGGAATGGTTTAGGGGTTTAAATGTGCAAAAGAAAGCCATCAAGGGTGTTTCCAGTGCTGGGATGCCTCAATGTCTTGGCAATCATATATAAACAGCCTCTTTTGTCCTTTAAATTTTAGCAGTGGTTGGTCTGAGGGAGTCATGTGACCTTCCTACCTGGCTAGTCCCCGCTAGTTAACTTCCCAGGTAAGGGTGGAATGTGGAAACAGAACCCCTGCCCAAAGCGGAATCTATAAAACAATAGGAAGCTAGGAGGTCATTGTCTTTGGCTGGTGTGACACATCCATTGGAAGAAACCAAAGGCTCCAGGGAGAGGGAACTTCCCTGGTTTTGAAGGCTTATCTGGAACCAGAACGGTTTCAGGATGAGTTTGCAACTAAATTGTACTGAGATTTTAGTGTTAGAATTAGCTAAGCATTTTCTGTTATTTTAAATGTGTAATCTACTTCACTCTGCCTGGTCTCACTTATAAACACTTAAATCCTACTGCTTGTACTTAATAAAATTGCTTTTATTTACTATCAAGACAATGTAAATAATTGTAACCTGGGGAAGCAATCAGTGTGTTTTTCATTGCTAAGGGGGCTTACCTAAATAAATCATTTGGGGCTCTGTCCCATTTGGGGAGTAGTATCCTGGGAAGCTAGGCCCAAAACTGCTGTGTCCTTGCACCCGAAGAGTTTGAGTATCTGTACTGCTCCTCGAAGGGGGTGGGGGTGGCAGCAGGGATCTCAGCTCTGTGCCTTGGCTGAGGGAGACCAGGGAGCTGGTTCA